TGCGCGAAAAGAGAGAGAGAGAGAGAGCGAGAGCCGCATCGTCCGTCAGGGACGTAGCGTTGTGTCGTATAGCGATCCGGAAAACCATTTGGGAAAATGTGCGCGAAAAGAGAGAGAGAGAGAGAGGGAGAGAGAGCGAATGTGAGAGAAAGGGGAGAGAGAGAGAGCAAGGCACTGGCTGCGCATATCAGTGTGCGAGTGAAACGACCTCGGTGGGAATTTTTAAATACGATGAGGGGGTGTGATCGTTACCTGGAGCAGCTCGTTTTCAGCTGTTTTCGACATGTGCCCCTAGCGGCGTCGCTACGATATATCCAACTGTTAGGAAAATTTCCATGATAAGAGGGGAACATATATAAATATATAAAGTACAGACAGTCGACTATGATATTACCAGAAGTAAATAAAAAAACCATTTTTATTCACTCATGATATTACACATGCACGCATAGGAGAATGTGATTATTATGTTCCCCTTGGCATGTATGTATTCGTCCCCTACCCCTACTCCGCAACGGTGCAGCAAGGGCCTAGAGTTAACAAAGACATTGTTAACCCAGTACGCACTCGTTGTTGGTCTATAATAGAAAAAGTGACAAATATGAGCCAGCGATGAAATGAATGCGCGATAGAAAACATATATGAGAGAGATTTCAAATTCCGGTGTGCAGTGGTTATTTATTTACATATACGTTGCTCGCGTATGTATACGTCGACCGTATGTATATTATGTCAGTTCTAGATGTACATATTATATCAGCATTATAAGTGCGTGACGCTGATGGTAAATATGTTAATGGGAAATAAATGTATTCCACAGATAGCGCTTCTTTAAAGTTAGTTACACAGAAAATGTAAATGTTTGCTATGGTAGTTTTCTTGACGATGTATATTTATAGCTAATCAAAATGCTGATTTAGTTGGGAGTACTTGTCGACACTCTAGTCAAATGGGTTTTCAGCAACCTATTCCGCACACACCACCCAACTCAATTATGGCCACATAAATATCAACCGTTTCATCTCGTTTTTTATAATTTCAAATGCAAGGAATACACCTTAATTCAGCGCTTCGTAAAGGCGTCGCTCTTACGCGGGTGATGTTGTGCGTGCCTATGTGCGACTATTTTCCCCGTGAAACTTTGATAAAATTCGATTTTTTTAACATGGAAAATGCAGTTTCAAGTAGTGGCAA